AGGTCGGAGAGAGTTTGAGGTTTTCTTGGGTGTGTCTCACAGGCAGGCGAAGAAGAACCCTTTTGTATATAGAAGCGGAGTTGGATTTGAAGTTATTGAAGATCTAAGAATCTAAATACTTGCCTTCCACTGGGGGATGCTTATGAACGAGATTCCCACCTTTGAACTCTTGTGCAGAATGCAGCGTACGAACTCATCCCTGTTGAAACCTGTAATGGGTGGTTTAGTTTGTTGCTTCAGATGGAGACCTCCGTGGTCGGGAAATCAGTGTTTTTCTTCATTCTCTGAAGGTTTCGGCCCAGAGCACATGGGTTTTGACCCAACGCCGGCCGCTGCCACCACGTTTGCAAAGCCGAGGAGTACTGCGCTCCGAGAAGTAGCGGTGCTGAAGGACGACCGAGAAGACGGTGGGTTCGCAGTAGACAGAGAAGTAAGGTCAGTCCTCTCAGACAAATACTCAACTTGGAAGAACTAGATGCAACTACAAAGCCTTCATTGAACACTGATGCCGGCGTACGGTTGTCGCGATAGTTCATCTCCCTTGGACGTTTTGCGTGCACAGTTCTCGCTGCACACATGCCTGCTGGTCAGTGGACATGCTGAAGCGGATGTTTGATTCTGCTCATGTCTCAAAAGGTTCTCAGACGTTTGATAGTGGAAAGGGAGTTGAATTGAAGATGCTGGAATCCAAATGGGACAGTCAAACAGAGGTTGGGACGATGAGCTTTCTGGTCAAGTGGCCAAGAAGGATTAGAGTCACGCGTACAAGTGGCGGAGCATTTAGGAGTATTCATTTACCTAGATTGAATGGTTTGGGGAGCTGAGTGTAGCACGGACTTGCATAGCCACACTGTTGAGTGTGGCTGTGCAGGTACTGGTCAGGTCTCTCTGAACAGAGAAGAGAGAGAGAGAGAGAGGCTTATGGCTCATCAAACAATCTCACAGTTAAAGTTGGAATGAGAGAAGCTGCAGGGAACTGCCTCGGGATGTCAAGCGAGCCGAAAGATGTCAGGATCTCCTAACTTGTCAAATGACCTGGGGAAAAAGCGCCGGCGTGCCAGGAGCTGGACAGTGAGTATGTGGTGAAGCTCTTTGAGGCATGCTCTATCGACAATCAAGCGGCAATCGGCAATCAAGTCAGCATGTGGGAGTCTTTTGAAAGGGATCAATCACTGATGCACTTGTTTCCCGGATCCCCAACGAACGGACTGGCGATGCTGAAGCAGGGGATTCTGGGGGTCGTGAGACATCTATGCTAGTCTCCCCCGCAAACAAATCAAAAATACAACAACTCAGAGAAGAACACAATATTGTATATTGTATATGTGTGTATTATAATGTATTGTATTCAATCATACAATTATGCAATCGTAGTAGTTTATAAGTACTAGTCGAAAGTGAACGCAGGAAACGTCGATGAAACGTGTCGATAACGTAGCTGGAGGCCCAAAGCTGGGTTGGGGGCCAGGGTAGCCTGGCGGGTTGCGTTGGGCAGTTGGTTGCCCAAGGATGGCAACGCGAGACACTGGCGTTCTTTCACGATATGCCAGAGGAAGAGATTCGCGAGATGTTGCCGGTGATGACAAAGGAGTGGGTGGAGAGCGATTTCAATGATCTTCTCCGAGAAGCTAAACGACAGAGGCGGTGGATGGACATCGAGGACAACCAGTTCTACCAGCATCAACGTTTGCTGTTCAAGGACACCTCCATCGTCGATGCCAAGCTGGCCAGCCTACCTTCGACCATAGCGGAGGCTGGAACTACGTTGGCTTTGGCTCGGAAGTCACTCCCTAGAGTGACTTGGAAGACTAGGCTCCAGAAGGCGTTGGCTGGTGTCACAGGTGAACAGCAGCGTGCCAAGGTGGAGGAGGCAGAACGCAGCCGTTGGATCAAGGAGCTCCTGAAGTTGCTGGAGGACGCCGGTTTCCTGGGTGCCACATCCAAGAATGCCGAGGCCATGAAGCACTTGGCGGCTCGCTGTGCGATGGGCCGTCGGGCGTCGACGGTACGCCAACACGTGAAGTATGGCAAGCGGCTGCAGACCTACATGGAGTCCGTCTACGGAGTGGCCTGGCTCAGGGGGTACTCGGACTTCATAGGATACGTGGCCCTTCTTCTTGAAGAACCTTGCGGCCGCAGTGTGCCGAGCTCCTTGTTTAAGGCAGTGGCCTTCATGGAAATGGCTGCTGAAGTGCCATCCGAGAAGCGCCTCACTGCCTCTCAGGCCGTGCATAACTACTTGATGGAGGTCTCGAAGGGCAATGCATGGGCGCCTCACCAGCGGGTGAAAGCTGCACGAGTCCCGCTCGAAGTGGCACGTGCATGGGAGATGGGGGTTCTGGATGTTAGTTTACAGAAGTTCAAAAGGGTCTTTTGTTGGTTTAAACTTTTGAAACTGTGGGGAGCGCTCCGCTCGCATGACGCCGAGGGGGTGCCCCCGGCTACATTGACCTTCGACGAGGCGGTCGGGCTCCAGGGAGACATCGTGCGAGGGAAAACGACGGGGGTCGGCCGCCGTGTTGAAATTGTCCAGTTCCACATCTCCAAGGACGCCTGGTTGGTCTCTCGAGAGTGGTTGAGGGTAGGATTGGAACTCTTCATGGCCATGAACCGGGATGTCAAGATGGGCAACCGAGACTTTCTCATGTGCAAGCCCACGGAGAATCTTCAAGGGTTCAGGCCATCGATGATGAGGTATGCGGATGCAATGTGCTTCTCCCGCGCCCTGCTGACGGAGATCTACTCGGCTCGGAAGGACAGCGAGGGCAATCTGTTCAGGTTGATGAACCCGGAGTCCACCTCCTACTGGAGTGAACATAGTGAACGGGTCACCATCATGAGTTGGGCCTTGATAGCTGAGGTCCCACGTGAGACCAGGAGAAGGTGCGGCCGATGGTCACCGGGCGTCGACGAGGAGTATGCCGTGACGACGAAGAGGGTGGTGACAACTGCGCAGTATGGGATCACTGACTACGTGGACGACCGGTCGGTGTTGAACGGCTTCTCCTTGTGGCTCCAAACGGTCCATCTCAAGTCGGTTTCGGAGTCGCACCAGGAGAGCATGAAGATCGCTCCTCCCATGTGGGGCGGATTGGGTGAAGGGCCGGTGAAGGTGGTCAAGAAGCCTTTTGTGGCCAAGGAGGAGATGGATGTGCAGTTTGTGGACTCCCCGACTGAGGTGTTCTCCGATGATGAGGGCATGGATGACATCCCGCCGGGGGAGAGATTTCCTTTGGGCACCTTCATTTTGTCGGTGTTGGGGCGCACCAAACGCCGGACTTTGCACATCATGGGAGGATGCTACAGGGTCCCGGGCGTGCACTA